TTAAAGGATTAAAAGTTAAAATATAAAAAAAATTAAAGGGTTAAGAATTAAAATATAAAAAGGTTAAAATTAAAAATATTTTAATTTTAGATTTTAATTGTCTTTTGTCTTTTTGTGTTGGAGGGGTGTAGAAATGTAGGTTAAAATATTTAGGAGGGGGTGAGGTTACATTAACCCTAAAACATATATATGACTCACCTACATCATATACATATCATGGGAAAGATTCAAACAAAACATCATTAATTTACGATAACGTTGAAACACCTTTTGTTATAAACAATCATATAAGATATTATTATTTCATCACATATGATATACGTGTTATGCTAAATTAGAGATGCATACGACTTTTGACATAATTTATAAGTTGCGGGCCAAGTCACATTTATACCACTAAGCCTTCTCACATGTATTATCATATGTGATAAGAATGTTCTTGATGTGATATTATAATCCATCAAGACCATCACATCTGATACTAAATCATAGACGCAGACAATCTTTGGCTCACGTGACATATCGTCCGTACACTACGAGATCCGCACACGTATATTATCACATGTGATAAGTATTCACGTATTATCGTAAAATGAAGATGTTATCGTTTAAAACTTCACCTACGTATATACACATATATACATAGCAATCGCACAAGGAAAAACCCATCTCCCAAAAGAATACACACACATCACCTATATATATAATATATATATATATATATATATATATATATATCACACACAAATAGATGCATAAAACACCCATCTCTACTTTCTTCTCCTCCAAAAAAACCTCTCGCCACACCTACCTCCAAATTTTTTATTAGTGCATATATGTATATGATACAAACCCACCTGCAACTCCTTATGATAAAACACACACACACACACACACACATATATATATATATATATATATATATAGGGAAGGGTTCAAACGAGAACCCTGTGATTTACGAGAACGCAAGAACAACTCAATAACCTCATATTGTGATAAAAAATAAAATTAAAAGATTTTTAAAATTAAAATTGAAATTTAAAAAGATTCAAAAAAATTTAAAATTAAAAGGGTAATAATGGAAATGATATCATCAAATCTTTTAAACACGATAATTATCTTTTAAACACTCATTATTATCATTAGTCTTATCATTATCTAGTAAAACGGTTACGAAATAGGTTAGGATTATACTAGGTGTAATAATCATGTGATATGAATGTGATAATCATGTGATAGGGGTGTGATAATCACCATTATACATCACTTGAGTTATCGTTTTAGTTAATAAGTTAAAATTTTGGTGTAATCATGTGATAGGGGTGTGATAATCATGTGATATGAGTGTGATACTTATATGATAGGGGTGTGATAATCACCATTATACATCACTTGGGTTAAYGTTTTGGTTGATAAGTTAAAATTTTGGTGTCATCATGTGATTTGGGTGTGATAATCAAGTGATAAGGGTGTGATAATCACTGTTATACATCACTTGGGTTATCGTTTTGGTTGATAAGTTAAAATTTTGGTGTAATAATATAATATGGGTGTGATAATCATATGATATGAGTGTGATACTTATGTGATAGAGGTGTGATATGAAGAAAAGATGTTAACGAGAAGAAGCAGCAGATAACTACCAAGAGTAAAACGTGGAACGTGAAAAGATAATTATRGTTAATTAAAATAAAATAAAAATTATAAAAATTACTTAATTACATTATTGTCCTTRTTAAATTATTTATATATAATAAAAGTTAATTTATTAATTAAAAAAGTTTGAGGTTATTGGGTTGTTCTCGTGTTTTCGTAAATCACAGGGGTTCTCGTTTGAACCTCCACCTATATATATATATAGACACACACACACTTTTGCAGGACCCATTTTATTAAATATAAATAAATATATAAATACACACAGTACAGTGTGAACCAGATGTATTCGTGTATAGCTATAAATCGTAGCGTATGCATAATTTTGCTTTCCTTAGTGTCCAGTTTTGAATCAAATGAGCGTAGTCTTGATTTAATATCATATAAACTGTTGTGTGTGTGTATATATATATATATATATAAACCAGTGAGTGTAGTTTGTGTATATATAGAGAAAATTTACTCTATAAAAATTCTGTTATAGTGAGTGTAGTTTGAATAAAAAATTCTGTTATATCACATAGCTTACTCTAGCACTAGTCTTCAAGTGAAAACATCAAAGCTTTTCACTAAACAAAAAAGACCGACTCATATGCCTGTGGATTCAATGCCGTACAGTACATGTCTCCAATTGAATGACCAATACACTCAAAGCATGTAATTCTCAAATAAAAATGCAATAAATGCAAATCATGTCCAAGCTCAACAATAATCAATTTAAACCGCACAAATATCCCCAAAACTCAAATGGTCCAAAATCAAGCCAACAACACCACACTCGCTTGACTACAAAAATCAACATAAACAATAAAAACGTGTAACACCCCCGAGATCACATTTGCATATAACCATATATTTCATATATTAAGAAATATAATTTATACATTTGGTCCCGCTATAAATACAAAAGCTATATTAAAAAAGTAGCTACCAACTTTTTTCACAAAATCCCTTTACGTAACAAGTATTCAAGTACAAAAGATAACACATCATCTAAAAAAAAATCATATAGTCTTCTTACTTTCCCTTTCCCCTTATTATCAGACTTTACCCGACCTGTAATGCACATTTTGAAATACAAATGAGGGTTAGTCCATAAGGTCTAGTGAGAAATTCATTTGTTTGCTATTATAGAATGAAAAATCACCAAAACACTTTTACAAACTCATACTTATATAAATAACAAATAAACAACGTTTTAACAAAACAACCTCGTTTATCGCATCAATAAGATGAGACATCATCCAATTATCACATCAATAACCAAATAACTCATTTATTGCATTATGCTAAAAACCAATCGCATCTTATAGATAAAATCATGAATTCCTCGCAACACATGGGTGAGACAACCTCATTTCCTCGCAACACACTGATGCGGGAACCCCATCTCATCGCATCACACTGATGCGATAAACCCAACTTGTCGTATAAGTAGGATGCAATAAGTCAACTTGTCGCATTACGAGGATACGACAAATACAACTTCTCGCAACACATGAGTGCGATGACTACAAGTGATCGCATCAATGGATGCGATAACCCCAAGTCATCACATCACACATATGTGACAACTCAAAGTCATTGCATCATAAAGATGCGATAACAGTTCATCAACTTGATCAAAAACCCAAGTTTCACAAATAGTTGATTTTGCCACTCTTATAACCGTAATACACCTCTCCTGATTGTGTCACCCTTATCCCAAATATACCTCTCTTGATTATGCCACCCTTATATCTAAAATACACCTTTTCTGATTATGCCACTCTTATATCCAAAATACATCTCTCCTGATTATTCTACCCTTATTCTAATCATTTGATAATTAACATATCAAAATACAAAATTTTGCTAATAATAGCATAAACTCAGTTTCAAAACTCTCACATAAAGAACCATACGATTCTACTTCAATATCGTAAAAGGAAAGTTTATAACGTAAAATTCATCTTAAAATCACAATGAGATGAAGACAAACATAAAAAAATTTAGGTTGAGAATCACATAATCGATTTCTACTAGCTTTCCCTTTGGTTCTGTTTTTCTTCCTGGCTCAAAACACACACGGAAGCTTTACCAACTTTCTTTATGCTTTTTACTTCCCATCCCAATGAGATAATATAATTATATCATAACAATAATAATCAAATAATAAGAGGCGGTGGTGCATTTAAATTATTTAGGCACATAACCAAATCAAGCCCCTTAACTTATATACCCCGAACTTTTTTTAACCATTAATCCCGATTATCACAAAACACATTTAACCAACGTTTAAGCAAACTTATGCTCGATTGACTTAAAAACCAATCATTCACATTTTCCAAATGGAATCATACTAATTTTTATCTCCTAAATACTTCATAACACAGTAATGTGCATTTTCCAAATGGCTTATAAAACAAAACACACTAAGAGTGCATTAACGTCAAACAATCTCCATTTATGCAATAAATCAAAATGACACACTTATAATTTATTTATCAAAATGTCCAAAAACCCCAAAGGTAGAAATTTTATAAGATATATAAAATCAAATGTACCAAAACTATCATTCGCATCAAATAAACCACACACTTGGTAAACATCAAGTAAATTACCATAAGACTTCAAAATGGACATTTTTGGCATGTACAATGTTCTTACAAAGCAACTTGAACTCATTTTGCTAGATTTATGCTAAGTCTAGGTTTTAATTCCAAATCTTTAGCTTCTTTTAGTGAAGACTTGAGATCTCCTAGCAAGCCTTCTAAATCTTAGCTCCAAAGCTTCCACAAATACTCCCATAGCTACACCAAAATAGAAATAAATGGAAAGGGGATGAAGAGCACATAGACACAAGCTTTTGGTTGGACAAGAGAAATATTACCTTCAACTTGGTAGATCCAATATCTTCAAGAAACGCTTCCAATGGACCTTAGATTCAGACCTGAAACCTCCTAAAACACCAAATCTGGAGAGAGAAAGGCAGAGGAGAAAGTTGGGGAAGAGAAAGTGAGAAAACTCCAAGAGGTTTTCCTGTCATCAAGCTGAGATGTTCTTGGCGTTTGGAGTAACGAGGTAATGATAGTTTATAAAAGGGTGTTGTGTGTTTTATGAATATGTTATTGGTAAATTTCAAGACGGAGTCTTGGCGTTGCAAAATGTGTTCTACAGTCAGTAAGGGTCATTATTCGAAAGGCAATATTTTATCCTTATTATTGAGAAGACGTAGTTTAAAATGCTTGAATTCACTAGGCTTTAAACCTAACACTTTTTCATGTCGATATGTGCAACAGTCCTGGTGGGTGAGTACTAGTAAAAACTTGAGAAGAGTTGATGGTAGCTAGAGGCAAGTGAAGAATGTAACTCTCAGGTACGTCGTCCTTGTCCATACCTTGGAGATAGTGACGATTATGCAAGGTTTAGTGACAAATGTTCTTTTACTAGATCTTATGTAATATTCCTTTTTGAAAGTTGTTGGCTTTAAACCTTACATATGTATGTAGAAGTATTCTATCTTGACCTTTGGGGAGAAAATATTATACTATTTATGATGGTTATCAAAAGTTTTAAATATTTTCTAGTCCATGTGGATCGGCACTTGGTAGTTTTACCATTTTATTGCTTGTTTAAGATGACAATAGATTGGCAAGTCTATACTTGCACGAGTCTTCGTTTGCTGACAATTTAAAGATTTGTTCCATACAAATCTCGCAACAATGCTCCTCACACATATCAACTTGTCGTTGTCAAGCGCGTGCGAATAGCAGATCGTGGATAGTGGCTAAGACCGACGAAGAGTCTGTTAGGTTATTCAAATTACACAAAAATATGCAAAGGGGGTGAATACACTTTTTTACACAATCTTTTGGAAGATTAAAAGTATGAATATACTGATAACATCCAAGGAAACAAACTAGAGCTATCTGTACGGAATACAAATAGATAGCTTATGGAAAACTTACGATTACAATCAAGAACAGTAAAATTTGAAAACAAGTGAACCGAAGGGTAAAATCTTACACATTCATTGATGGAATACGCTCTACTTAGAATGAGATGTCCAAACCATTGAACTTTTCATTGGTAATTTGGTCCAAAGTTTGGCTCATTTCAGATGTGAGATGGTTGCTCCAGTTGCCAACTTTACCTTCCCTGAAGAAAATATTATTAGGTACACCCACAAGAAAATTACCGTGCTTATTAACTTCACTTAAGTTTTCGAAACTGCATAGACTCACAATCTCTTCCACAACACCTTTGGCATTTTCCTCCTCTGTGAAAGGGAAGCCCAAGAACTCTGCAAGGCGCTTCACATTGTTTACAGTATCTAATTTCATACTTTCATATGTCAGAAAGAGAATCCTTGTTGGGTGTTCTAAACTGATGTTATAGTAGGCTTTCACATGATCCCAGTATGGTCCATATGGACTGACACCTTTACTGAACATATGAAACAACTCTTCAATTGTCATTAGACCACGAGATTTGCCTCTCACCTTATTTACAAAGTGAAACAATGAAACCAAGAGATCTTTAGGGTTTCTACACATATAAACTAAACGACAACCAGAATCAAGAATGGATTGAGGCAATAAAGTGTAAGGAATATGTGTAGCAAAGAGACGTGCCGAATGTGCGTCAAGATAGGAAGGTTCGGTTCTCAAACTTTCATCCTCAACGAAAGGCACACAATGATGAGGGTTAGAGATGAGGAGAGGATGAGTTGAAAGAGACTTGTTTTTGTACCGATTTCGGTTCATTATAGCAAACACAAGTGCCTTGATCCATGTTGTGCCTGATTTTGGTAATGTGACCAAATAGATATCATTTGGATGAGCTTGAAAAGTGTCTTGTGCAGCCATCACAGTTTCAAGTGAGTATAAGCTCTGTGACATAAGCCAAAACCCTTGGTACATGTAAAGGTTTTCAACTATCCAACCATTCTCCTTTGGCAAAGTTGTAAATTTGTCTTTATATCTATCAAAAAGAAGGGATAATTTGGCCCTTCGGCGTTCAATCTCTTCTGCACTAGGTTTGACAATGGAAATAGAGGAAGCATTGGAGGCTGTAGGCGCAGACATTGTTTGAAGTATTATGATCTCTGTTGAATGGAAG